TTTTAAAACTGCTTTAAGAAAAAAAAGGGACAATTGTATAACAGCACAGGAAAAGTGATCATAAAACCAGCCCTGAATAAAGTCAAAAAGCAAAAAACAAGGGTTCTGTTTAAACAGGCTGGCAACAAGACTCTGGAGTACTCTTCAGGGAAGAAGTTGGGATGAATTTTCCCACATTCTTTTGTTAATGAGTCTTCCTCAGGTGAAGATACTGTATCAGCGAGAGAAAAGATGCCTGCTAGAGTCTGTGAAAGTTTAAACAACAGATTTTGCTTTCCTTTACTCTCCTGTACTTTTGCAAAAAGGCTGGTGGCAGACTCAGAGGAGCTTCCTGTCAGTTCACTGAATTGATAAATTAGTTAAGCTCCCCTTGTTCTTGATCCCATGAGCATCTACAGGTTCAACCAACAAAGCATGTTGGCAGACATTTGTGGTGGGATTAACGGGAGGCAACAGAAGCAATGTAGGTGAACTCACGTGGAGAAAAAAAAATCATTATCTTGCTACCAGTGACAAAGGCAGCTAAAGAAAACTTACATGCAGAAGCCTGAGAGACAACAGGGGTCCACTTAGAAGAGACTGGGGAAAACTGCCTAAAAATCTGCTGCTACATCAAGCATTCAGAGGCACACAAACACCACACTGAAAAAAAATTCCTACTTAATGAAACAATAACAATAATCTATTAACTTCTATTCTGAAATAAGTATGAAAAAAACTCAATTCCAGTAATAAAGCAATAACCTTTTAGCTCCAAGGAAGAGCACATTATTGGACTGACCTAACAAGGAATACATACAGGAAGATGTGCTGCCCAACTCATGACCTCTTTTTATTCGTCATATAAAACCTATATTACACTACTCATACTTTTCTGATTTCAGATCTATTTTGATTTGAAATTAATGTTTTTCAGTCTTGAAGGAAGGATTGAGAACCTTCAAACTCCACATTATTACCTTCTGGCCTCTTACTGTAGTTTTTACTACCTGGCTATTCGCAGGTGGGTGCTTATGACAACAAGGAAGAAAACTTATCTCACATTTTTGCTAGGAGTGATGAATACTGAATTATTTTTAGGAATGAAACAAAAAAAACCCAGTGTTTTCTTCCCACCATGACAATTTGCAATGCAGCTGGATTGTATTTACTGACAGAAGCCCTGGATGCCATAGTATGTGTACATGCTAACCTTTTCATGCAGAGAGCTGGAAACAGCCACAACCATAAAGCAGATGAAAGAAGCCTTGTGCATGGCCTTTTAAGTAGGCAATTAAATGCATTATATATAGAGATAAGTAAATATAACTACTATTACATAATACTCAAACTACTGCTTACAATGTAGTTTTCTTGAAACAGTTCTGCTGTTTCATATCTTAGCCTAGTGTTCTTCTGGCCATTTATACAGTATTTAAAGTGATTTTGTCTGGGAAACACCATTTAATCTAATTTGCTAAGTGACATTAATATTCTTAATTTTATTTGGGCAAAGCTCTTGCCTTGTCCCAAGAAGAATAAAATGCACAGTTTTTCATAATAGATGCTGTATTAATAAGATCTTAACACAATTCTGATTACATCTCCTTTTTTTCTCCTAGTTATTTTATTCTTTACAGGAAATATCTCCTTGTTTTGTTATGATTAAAAGATAATGTACCTCTGCCTTACTGTAAAAATAAAGACAATTATTTCCAAAACAAAATTCTGAAAAATTTTGCGGATAAACTAGGCAAGAGTTCACAAAAGAAAGACACATGTTCTCTAAGAATACCATGGTCTAATCAGAGGGACTAAACTCTTCCAACTTTTTTCTAGTTACCCTGGAAGGTACTAGGTGGCAAAGCTGCTAAAATGCTCTCAGATGGCTCCAGTCTTCATTTATCATACACTGGAAACTGAGGGCCCTGAGAAATTCAGGAATGCACTGAATACTAAGTTTTAATCAAATATAAAAATAAAAACCCATGACAGTTATTGGCCAAACTCTGTAGCAGGTTATCAGCTTTTTCTTCTTTTTAAATAACGATGTTGTTACCGCATCATTACCATCAACAAAATACATATGCTCATCAACAGAACCTGACACACGGTGAAAAGAGTGTAGCTGTCATTTAGCTCTACTACACTTTATGTCCCCAATGAAAAGCATGTCCCAAACACTTAGAAAATAACTCCCATATCACTCCAATTATAAGAATCAATTTTCCTCTAATTAAGAGTCACCAGTGATATGCCAGATAAACAAACTGTCCCAATGGAAGAGTGGAATGTTCTCAAACAGTGAAAACAAAAAATAAAATATTTCTTCTACCTCACCAACCATTTTAAACATCAACTATACACTGCTGGAGAAAGCAACTAATTTCAATTCCTTGTAGAGCTCATTAAGTAGATAAAAACCTAACTAGTGTATATGTGTGCCTATACATACACTACAAAAAAAAAAAAACCAAACCAGAATGCCACCTCATAAATTATCTAAACTGCTCATATTCTTAATGTGATCTGGCACCTCAATAACATTTGTTTAGGGATCAAATGATATTGTCTTACAGAAGTCCACTTGCCAATAGCATCACCACAATTATGTTATTTTCTTGTTTAATAACAAACAGACAGTGGTATCTTCCCATTTTAAAACATAAAAATGTGGTTTATAGATGTGGATTTTTATTTATGAAGACTTATCCTTTCATATCAATAGGTAAATTTTTTGGTTTGGGGTTTTTTGGTTGGTTTTTTTTTTTGTTTTGGTTTTTGGTGGGTTTTTGTTTTGTTTTGTTTTTGTTTTTAGGGTTTTTTTTAATTTATTAAGAAAAAACATATTTTGTAGCTCACAGAGTTTAGCCTGTATTCATTCCACCAAGAAATGTCAGATGTTCAGAATTCATGATCAATCAACTTGTTATGCCATCTCACAAGGCAAGCCTCTGACATAGCTCTAGAAATGGGTTATCTTCAGGTCTAAAAGCACCATCTGCTCTTACTGATGGCACTAACAAAATTACTGTAATAAGAAAAAAAAATCCCTAAGTGATAGTAAAATCCAAAGCCCAGAAGATATTTTCAAGTCATGACTACGCCTACAGAGAGCACAATTCAAATGCCAGCTAGCTTTTAACAAAAGGTGATCAGGTTCAAGTTTGTTGTACTCCCTCCTTGACCCTCACATTGTGCAATGAACAATAAAATACCAGTGTTGCAAGAAAAGGCAACAAAGGGGCCAAAATAATGAGAATGTGGAGATCTTTCTTTCATTACTTGGAGTTTTTAAAAACCCTAAATAAAATGCAGTTTTCAGACGCTTCAGAGAAGAAATTCTTTTCCTCTCTAATGTTGCAAACTGAAGAAACTATTCTTGCTAAGTTAGTTTTCAGTTCACTGGCAAACAATTTTTTCATATTATCAAATTAAAACTTCTGTAAAGCCATCAAATCAGATATTTTGCCAAGAATTCTTTGTCCCAGTAACTAATGGAAAGGAAGTCTTTATTGGTGACCTATATAAAAACTGATAGCTTGAACTTTCTGCCAAATGATTTAGCAATCCATTATGATCATAAATTTGCAAAAAAAAAGTTATTTCTTCTTGCTTCAAGCCGAAGGTTTAGAGCTTTTCCTTTAACATTTTACAAATTAAACTTAGGCATTAAGTAGGCATTATGCAGAAGTATGGAATTATTTCTGCATACTCAATAATCACATTGGAAATGTCTTCAGTCACTGATCTAGAAAAAAAAAATTGAAATCTTTACCACTGTATAATTAATAAACTACAGGTCCCCTTGACAAATATACTTTTTTCATGTTTCATATGACATGCAAGTATTTTATCCCATCTTCCTGTCCGAGACCTGTTTAGTCTTCCATTTTCACATGTCTTCACTCAATATTACCAGCCAAAGTATGAAACTGTTTGCAGACATGTATTAAGGTATTATTTTTCAAATATACTTCAATGCAGAAGAAATTAGATCAACTTCCATTTATATTTGGGATCTGTAACAAAACATACATGTCCAGAAAGCTCAAAGGACAGTCAAAATGTGGTCCACTGATTAGATATCCATACATAGTTATCTAAACCTAAAATGAAGTACACAGGTTCTCTTATCTAATTCCTACTGTTTTTATTAAGAAGAATAAAATCTGAAACTGCAATGGCAAAATTCCTGAAAACTTTCACTATCTTGTCTTTCATGGGATTGTCTATTCCTACTATCAGTTGCATTTTGGTAGCAAATTTAGAGTCTTTCTGAAAATTCAGTTTGAGAATTTAAGTACTGGATGTTTTCAGGGAAGGAAAGCAAGGCAAGGTAGGAAAAATAAGGTAAACAAAACAGAAAAGTGCAGAGAGAAAAAAAATTACCAAATTGCAGGAATTCTTCCCTAGATTAATCCAATCATCTCTTGCACACACACCTGGGAAACATCTTCTCCCGGATTTAATCATGCTTTTACCCCTTTCTATTGCTATGCTTATCTTTCAACTCCAGCAACTGTTCCCTCTCCTTTACATTTTCTCCGTCCTTCTTGTAACAAACCCAGCCACCTCCTTTGCTCATCAAAAGGAACAGACGTGATATGACAAAATTTTAAAGTAGCACCACCTGCTCAGCCTTCCAGCAACAGGGAGGCTCTGAAACTGGAGATGAAACCTGTCCAAAAAGGTTCAGCTTGTCCTTGCAATTTCCTCACGCTTTTATAGGCAGCTTAAACTGGGTTCTGCTTAAAAAGAATGAATGGAGACTCTGAGCAAATGGCCGCAAAAAAATATTCTGTCCTTTGTGGGGGAAAGAGATTATTCAGATCAAACTTATGCTGTAGCCTTCTCCGTGGTAAATGATGATGCTGCCATGAGATTTTTCTCAAGATAGATTTTTTTCAAAAAAGCATGGGCAACAGTTGGAAAAAATATAATGGCATAAACTAAAATGAAATTATTGTATATTTCTGTGGCATTCAAACATAAGCAGTACAGTTAATGTGCTAGTGTACCTCATTTTGAAGTTCATCGGCACTTTTGGTAGAAGCAAGGATCTCATACAAAGTGCAGCAAAGGTCTTCTGTTGTTGGCCCTCCAGGGTTGCCTCCTTGAGACTCCTTCAGGTACTTTCCAACTTCACACCATAAAAAAGAATCATCTATTTTTTCCAAAGATTTGATATTAGATTTCTCATCACAATAGTTCTGTAAGTGATTCAGCTGGTTATTCAAAAACTTGTTATAGTCTAAGCTTATATTTTTCTGCACATCAGTCTCACCATTCACAGGCAGCTCTTCAGAGTGATCCAAATCATGCATGTCAAATGAAAACACTATATTTTTACCAAACAGCACTCTGTTATCACCATTTTGCTCTTCAGCCAACTGTATGAGGGCTCTGAGCTGTTCTTCAGGGAAGTGAGAAGCAATCCGAGACGTGGCACTACAGGCTGCAGTAGCAGACGATGATGGAAATGGCCCAAACATCTGCTTGATCACCTTTGTCTCATCATGGCCAACACATTCCTTCCCATGAAATGTCTTAAAAAGAAAAACAGCTCCACTTTCAATCGCCTCTTGTCCATTTTCAGCTCCAACTGTTAACAAAAACAAATGCAACTGAATACACTTAATACTAAGAGTGTTTCATTACCTGTAACATAACTGTATTCAAATTCTTGCCACAAGTCTCATCAGCAGGGATATCAAAAGAAGATCACAACAAGTAAGAATTGTTGCAAGGTACTGAATTACAAAAGGTATATGATAATAAAGCATCTGTCTTCATTATCCTTCTACATGCTAAAAATTTATAGTAAGAATTACCAAAGCTTTCTTATCATCCTGAGCTGGAGAAATAAACATGCTAGAGGTCTTAAACACACAATTATATATTTATAAGCTATTTAATGTTAACAAATTTCCACTTTGTCTCACTATTTATTCACTGCCTAATCTGAATATTCATAACAGAATAAATATAAAGGACTCAGCTGGGGATTACTGAATCCTTGTAGTATTTCCCAGTAGAATTACTTCTAAGTATGTGCTAAGTTAGAAAAACTGCTTAAAAATGTAAAGCAAATAAATGTATGAATTTGGATTTCTATCTACAAAATATCATGTTATGCAAATAAACAATATATTATTAGATAAAAATATTAATTTACTTCTCACACAAATATTCACAAAGGTAGTTGAGGGAAACATAAGGAAAACTCCATGTGATGAACCAGTATGTCACTACTACAACATTTTTAAAGTCACCAAGCCTAACCTAAACAAAACCAGCCAGCATACTGGGGCTTTTGTTCATTTTAAATGAGGGCAACTTACAAATGTTTTTTACTTATGATTGATTCAACTCAGATTAGGTTTAGCACCAGAAAAAACAAGGGGTTTCTTCCCCACAATCTAACAGGAAAGAGCAAAAAATTCTAGCATAAGCAGATAGAACAAGGCTAAGTAGCTAGAAATTCAATATATAAATAAATTGAGGTGGCTACAAATTCACTGTTTAGCTTGAATTTTCCTGTGGTGTACTTTGAAAATCTGAGAAGTTCAAGGAGAGGATTGGAGGTTGTAATTACAAGATAATTACATACCTACATATGGAAGATACATGACATAGACACACACATATACAACAGACATGTAAACAGGTCTCAGAGGAAAAAGGTGGTTCAGCCCCTCCCTTTTAGCATTAGCTATAGAGGAAGCACAAAAAAACCTTACATCTAAAAACTTGCAGTTTGTCTGCATGAAGCTCAATTATATATTCCTAACATAAAAATGCATGTTATTATTTAGAGTCAATTGTCTCAGAACAGAAGTAAAGATTACTAAACTGAAAGAGAAATTGAAGCATTTGAGAAAAATCTCTTAGGTTTACTATGTGGTTTTCTCCTTTATTATCGACATCTCCTATTTGTCAAAGTATCTCTTGAAAAAATACTACTCCTTCCATCTCAACAAAATAAACCAGACAAGATGGCAAAGAGATGCACTACTAGAAGCTACTCTTTTTGGTATTTTGTTTTGTTTGCCAGCCAACATTTTAGTCCAGTACCACTTGTGATTAAATTATACACAGTGGATATTTAAAACAGCTCTCTCAATCAATATCATTTATCAATAAAGATGGATAATAGATACTTCTCCTACTAACTCTATGGACTGGCAGCTGGTACAAACTCAATCCCCATCTTGCATGACTTTTCCTCAAGCCCTGTGTGTTGCAAGTGCCAGCTGAAATCTGTGCACTGTAGGAGAGGTACCTGAGTTAGGGCAGAGAGTGGCCCTGCCCAGGGGCCTGTCTCAGAAAGACAGCAGCCACATGCTTAAATTGCAGCCCAAAGAGGTTAAAAGTCTACCAAAGGTACTAACCAGAGTTTAAAACTGCCAGTAGTTTGAGAAATACTCAAAAATGTACTTCTGATGACTGAAAAAAGCAATACTCATTTACAACCATTAACAGCTTTAATAGGCATCTTCTGCAATTGTACAGCACAATTGACTACCACCACATGTTGGACATGAATAACTTGCCTAGCCCATTTTGAAAGCCTGTGTTTAGACATTGGTTTCTTTCTCAGTTTACTAGGTATTTCCAAATAAATGGTCAAGAAATAGAAGTACAAGAGGGGCAGGTTAACATTTGTATTGTAATAAAAATCTCTGGTCTATAGTACCAAAACCAGGCAAATACATTTATTTTCATTCATTCTCTCTGTCTTTTTACTAATGTTTCTATTAAAGATATTTGAAAAAACAATCAGAAAAGGAGAAAATATATCTACAAGATTGAAAGGAAAAATCCTTAAATATGTGACCGCAAGAGCTTGAGCCATGCGCTCAGTTTATGACCTGATAAAGTTAAATTTTGCTAAAAGCAAAAGCTGCATTAGCTTTAGTCTGTCAACCAAAAACTAAATTTCCAATCAAAACTAAGTTTTCACACTTTCTTTGTCATAGTGTATTTCAGTATTAGAAGTTTAATTCCAGATGAGTGCAATATATTTTTATTTCTCTCCTCAACACCAAACACTTCAAGGAGAAAATATTTCTTTCATTTTTATCTGCCTGCACAGCAGTCCAATTTTTCATTATACCAATTATGTAGAATTAAAGCAGACAACATCAGGATTGTTCTTTTCTTAGAGTACTGCTGTTCCAAAAGAAACAGTTGGTTTTGCTTAATAACTGTCAATCACAAACCATACCACACTCTACAAAACAATACTATCAAACAAGTAAGAATATCCATATAACAATGGAATCTTAAAATAAAACAGAGGGCCAAATTGTGCATATGTGTATCAGATTAAATGGAGTTTCAAAATTATTATAGGGCAAAACTGGCATCAAGGTAGAACCAAAACTAAACTGTACCAGTGAAGTATGCAGGCAGAAAGCAACTTGAACCTGCTCCCACCCCCACATAAAACAATGTATGATTAGACTACTAAAGAACAAAAACATACCTATTTGTTTTGCAGCTTGTAAGATAGTTTTTAAATCACCATTTACAGTTTGGTATTCTTTTTTGTCTAAATTGTCATCAACAAACTTTATTATCTTCTTCCAAGTAAGATCGGACTTCAGCAACTGGGCATGTAGTTTTGATCTTTTAGTCTGAAAATGCAAAATATTTGGGTTTTTAAATTTATTTCAAATTAATACATGAGGGTTGCTTTAAAATTAAACACCAGATAAAATCAATTCTTTCCAATTGCATTTAGTCGGTGTATAGTACTGACTGGAAGCACTTTTCCTTTTATCTGATCTTTAGACTCTTTCCTGAGTGTATGAAAGAAAGATACACAAAAGCAAACACACTCTCTCACTAATTTACTCTTTCCAGAGCAAAATCCTCTATAAAGCCAAACTCTTGCAACTTCAAGAGACTTACAGTTCTCAAGATTCCAAAGTCATTTCACAGGTTTCCACAAGGCATCTATTGCTTTAATGCATTATTTCTCAGGAAGCAAAAGAAGTACCTAAATTCAGTGAACTTAATATTAGAAGGGAAATGTTTGGCTTCCCAGCTTTACATAAGTTCAGAGCTAAAAGCAGCCCTGTCCAACTTCTTGAAAGACAAATTAACACAACCAAGCAAGCTTTGCCATATGATTGTAAGGGCTAAATACAAATCACAAATCTACAGCAAATTTGACTTTGAGTGAGGACACTATGAAGGAATGTACAGGAAATTTTACACACTCTGCCCTTCTTGCTCGCCTACTTTTATAAAATATCAATGCAAATGAAGAAAACAAATGATTCTTACTATAGCTATGCTTTGTAAAGGAAAAAAAAAGCTTTACCATTAAGTCAGATAATTCTTCACTGTAATCCTCATGTTTAGTGACATTTGAAAAGGAGCGTAAAGCGCCTGTCAGACGAGGCAAGGCCATCTGTTACTCATTCAGTGATCCATAGGATGAGAAATCAAATCCCAGTTCAAGCACCTAGATGAGAACAAAACATGGCTTTATTAATGTTATAAATACAAACTTGCATCATAAACTTGAAAGACCTTTTCGAGCTAGCAGCACTTGGCTCAAACTTCAATTAAGCCAGTTAAAAAAAGATCTCTTAAAATGATGATAATCAAAATTAAATAAAATGAGGTGAAAGGCACAGAGCAGAGGCAAGATATGGGAACATGCAGAGGTCACTCAGCAGGTAGTTCTTTTCTGTGCTCCCTAAATAAAAGTTACCAGCAATGAGGCAAAGTGGCAATTATTTCTTTAGCACCCCTAACACTGAGTATTACAGTGAAATCTATGTAACTGAACTTTAGCTCCCAATAGCAGTAAGTGATTACAACCTACGGGAAGATTTCCTCTGAGCCAGCCCATGCTGGGAGCTCTCAGGTCATTAACAGCCTCTGGCACTGATGCAGAGAGAGGCATCTTTCTTGACAAGTGCTTAGCCATTTTTAACCAGCAACACAGGGAAAGAAAATTATGACAGGAAATAAAGACCGTCAAAGGCATAGCATTGAACTATTATAAGAAATAAAGGGAATAAAAAAGGCTACCAGAAAACTGAACACACTATGCCTTGGGATGTTTTCATCTCACAACTGGGAGTGCACACACACTTAGAGCAGGCCTCTCTTCAGAACTACAGCTTATTTCCGCGCAGTTTTATTTCCTCTGTGGAACACGCTCATATCTATGCACCAAAACACAGCTGTTCTCCATCTGAAACTGTACTTCTTCCAAGCCTTTTACTGAAATTATTCTCAAAGTTATTTAATTTCAAAAGGTGCCCACAGCTGAATTGTTTAATGAACCCTAACACACAGCTACAGTTCCTGATGGTACTAGATAAGATACAGATTTAGATTATTTTTGAAACAATTAATGATACCATTACAAAGCTAATGATCTGCATCATTCTTAGCATGCCTGAAGATCAACGTCCATCCAGAATTTAAAGAACTCATAACAGAGTTAATAGAATTACTTCCCCCCCAGTCATACAGTACAGAACTCTCTGCTTTCATCCAATTATCCTTAACACTTTTCCTTATTTAATGACTGCATTTGTATTTTAGCTATCAGCTTTGCAATACAGCGCAAAAGAAATCCAGATGCAGCATTCCAGTCACAAACAGAGAAATGTCACTGACTTGTTAGGTCTGCTTGTTTTCCCACCTTGCCTTAAGATGCTTTTTGAGAATGATTTTACAGCAGCTGATATTTTGGAGACAAATGTTATACCAATGAAGCTACAAAATTTGGAAATACAAAATCTTTAACAGTGAAGGGCAATGAGAGCATGTATTCAAGCCTAGAAGCAGAGAGAGCCAAACATCACTGCAGCTCTTTTGATATATTCAGTGAATATATGACATGTAACTCATACCAGCATAGCTCCTAGTGAAAATGGTCTCTAAACATTTTAGCAACCATTATTAGAAGGGAAGTAATGTGTCCAGACTTTGAGGGTACATCACTCTCACGCTGTTCTAATGACAGAACTGCCATTAGCTATTAGAGCTATTGGGTCCATTTTACCTATTTATTTTATACCTACATTTAAATACCCTTTTCTGTAGCATTATGTGCCTCTATAAAAAAAATGTAAAAATATAACTCTAATATTACTTTAATTGTCCTTTCTGAAATACCATGCATAGCAATTTATGAAAGTCAGAACATACTTATAAAAAGTTCACTTTTCACACACACTTATAAATTTCAACGCATCTCCAGCAGGCGCATTTATTAGGAAACTGAATTGTAAATGGATATTTCTTTCTCCTTTATTCAATTTCTTTATTAGCAGCTCCTGAAATAGAAAACCTGAAACACCAGAGAACAAGAAAGGGCACATTGTCCTGACCACAGGCATGGCCAAAAGCCAAATCCAGCCCTGTAACCCTAATCTTGTACTAGTAAATGCTGCTCCACACTTGCCTGTGTGCTTTCAGAACTTGCAGGTGTCTGAGGAGGCTGGTTTTGCAGAACTTCTGCCTCCCATTTATAGTCAAATACCACACAACCCCCTTCACTTCTGGTACACACCCACTCTCAGCAGGGCATCAACAAAAAACAAAACCAGCTAGTAAACAGAATGCAGGGGACAAGTGCAATTAATTACTCCTCTGTTAAAACTTAGAAACTTTGGCTATTATTCTGCAGCATATTAAAGCCAGCTCTGAACACTAAATCCAAAATCATGTGGTCCTATAAGATGCACTCTAAATTTATATTTGTTTTTAAAAAAATATGCTACCTGCCTTCACATAAAGCTTCCTTATGTAGATACCTGCCCGCATCACACTGCCTTAAGAGTGGATCAGCTACTCCTCATCGTTCCACAGCCATCATAAGGGTAACATTCCTTCTGGTTTGAAAGAAATATATCTGTTTCCTCACAGGTGGATGTGAAACAACTGAACTACCAAATGATCCTGCAAAAATCTGCTAGTTTTGAAACAAGGACCTAAAAGGCAGTGGCAATTAAATCGTCTTTTCCACAGCCCACATACAGAAGATGAATTTTTGCCATCCTTCTGGCCATTCCCCCTAAAGAAAAGTATGAGAAAGGTACCATCTTAAATCATTTCTGTAGGACAAATGGAATGGGAATTTAACCCTCATATCAGTGTGACTTTACATGGTAAAAAGATTTCTTCTCCTCCTCCACCCCCAATCAAGTAAGGACATTTTGGGTACATTCTGCTAATGATTCCTAGAACTATCTCAGATTTCCTGCCTCTTTTAGAAAACACTTAAATTCCACCAAGCCAGTTTGTAAATTAGAAAGAGCAATATTCACCCTTCTAAAGCTTCGTGAAGATGAGAGAAGGTAACTTTTAAAGTCTATTTTGTATCTTTTACAAACAAGTGTGATTTTAACACTGAAACTTTGTATAGAAGAAAATAAAACATAAAGACAGATTATACTCAGAGTTCAGGTAAACAACAATTCAAAGTTTATTGTTAAATGTAAACATGAATCATAACCTCAGCAGGTTTTTACTCATTAAAGTGAAACATGAAAAAAATTTCTAACAATACCACAAAGGTAACAAAAATTCTAGAGAAGTTTTCCACTTTGTATTTTCACCAGCTACTTAGGTTTTTGTCCAAGTCCTGGCCTTCCTATGTTTCTAATACAAGCAAATAACAGAACCATTTCTTTTTCTTCTTTGCTGAAATATTAAAGAGATTACTGTAAAAGACACCTCCTTTTGAAATTTACTGAATCCCTATGCCCTCTAACAGATCAAGCCAGCTGCCCAGTAGGGCTAAGAGAAGGTGAATGCTCAGATCAGGCACGTCAATGTTCAAGCTGAACGGAAATCTTTCCTTCCTTACAAAGGATGGAATAACATAGCATCAACACAGCTAAAAATCACAGGTAAAATCCACAGTTACAAGATCCTAAAGTACCAGTTTCTGTAGTCTATAATATTTTACTTTTTATTTGTCCTTTAAGACTTCACAGCAGTGATTCTGTTTAAAGTATTTAAGGAATACTAAGCCATGTTCCCAGATTTTGCCTATATTACCTATAATTCTTCCAGCTATTAATAAGTTTCTTGCTGTCTATGTAAACCTGCAATTTATAAAACCTAAAGAAATTATTACTAGTAACTAATCTAATCAAAGAACATTATAAAGAAAAAGAGGCTTTTAGGCATTGGCAGTGAATAGCAGGTTGCTATTGACCACAAAGTATTTCAAACAGCATTTCCTCTTTCACTTGAAAAAGTGGAAACATTTCAAATGAAAAGGAAACTGAAAGGGCAAAAGATATCCCACCCACAAGGCCATACAAAAGCTAAAGGGACACTGCAGCTTTTTTCACATTTTAAATACATAATTCAAACAGTGAGACCATTTATCAATACATACAATATTTTACTTTACGCTACTGTGTAAGAAGACTAAAAATAAATCCCCAAACATTAAATTTTACTGATATGAACACATTTTAGAATAGTTACAATTAACTTCAACAACTTCCTTAACACAAAGGTAAACTTGATATTTTATTTACAAATAAGACTCAATATTTTAAAAAACCAAACAACACATTCTACTCCGTATATATCCTTTCTAAATCATATACACCAAAGGAAAAATGTTTTAAAGAAAACACTTAAAGAAAAAAAATTAAATCATTAGATAAAAAAGCTATTTTGGATCTCTGGGAACATTTTTATTAGATTTAATAAAATTTCTTATCCAAGCATGTTTGATGTCAACAGTACAAATACACCTAACATCAAAGTTGTTAGCCAGGGATAATAGTGGTTTAAGAATGTCTGGGACATTAATCAGAAATAACATGACACTAAAACAACAGTATTTTCAGACTTTGTATTTTGCACCTTTACAAACACTGCTGCCCCATGTAGTACCAACTGTACGCTTTCAGACATCTGACTTTCTACAAAAGGCCCAGACATCACCCTGGAATTCTCTCAAGTTGTCTGGGTCAAATATTACTGATCTCCAGACAAGACTGGGTCAATCTTTAAAAGGGTGATGGCAAGATTAAGGAATATGTACTCAGGAAGAAACAGTGGCTTCCTGACACACAATATTCTCCTCAGTGAATACCAAAATTCAGACAAGTGTCTTAGCATAACAAGAAGGCACAACAGTGCCTCTGTGTGCCACTGTTCACATAAAAGACAATTTCAGCATCTTAATTACAGAAGTCACTAAACAAAAACCCTAGAAAATCAAATAATGAAATTACAAGTCATTCATTCAATACAGTATTAACCCTTTCCACATTTTTTCATAATCTTAACCATGCACATGTGATCGCCAGCTGCCTAACACTGTATCTGCTTGCATCAGCTGGAGAACCATTTCTTGTGATTATGCCTGATACTGTTCTGGGATGATGCCAAACATGTGGCTTGGCTCAATAATGTGTTCATTTTACATGTACTTTGAGATAGTTACTGAGGATTGCTATTGTTAAAAAAGAA